CCAGAATAGAAGCAGAGCAAATATTGCAAAGCTGCCTATATAGGCGCAAGTTGCAGTATTTAGTAAAATGGAAAGGATATGCAGTAGAAGAAGCAACATGGCAGTCAGAGGAAGATGTGAAGAACGCGCCACTCATTGTAGCCGACTTTTATGCAGAAAACCCAAATGCGGTTAAATCGGCACGCATCTCCGCTTCAATTCTGATGACCCCTGACTTCCTCGAATGGAGACAGAAAAATATACGACCATCTTACATTCGCAAGGACGCTCATCCTAGAAAGGGGGTAATGTCACGAATTCCTAATACAAACCATTTTTCATTTCTCGGTTTTCCTTCGGCTACTTCCAGTACCCGAGCCGGTCATGTGACTCCGCGTCATAGGTCACCCGTTACTTCTCCGATTGGTTCCCCTACTCCACGGGCTAGAACAATCTCGCTTCCCAAAGAAGAACCGGTCGGAACTTGGGTTTCTGTTTAGTTGCCGTCTTACTCATCTGCTTATATATCATGAGTCATCTTTAGTCATCCGCAGTAGTCATACGACTCTTTTCTTATTGGCTGATTTCTTTCAGACTCCTATTCAATGTTATGTATAAAAGTAGGGTAGTTAGCGTAAGAGCTCCTTAGACTTAACCTCTTCGTTTCTACTGTTGTAGTAACCTAGACGTTCAACGCTCAATCCAATCCTGTTACTCATCGTCATCTCTGACCGAGTCCTAGTGGTCGTGAGCTCTCCTTCAACATTATTGTTGGACGTGGGTCATAACACCGGTTCACCCAGAGAAGAGGAGCTAGATGATTTGGAATCTCACACGAGCGTTGCAATTGATTGTTCGCCTTGGACAGGCTTTCGGTGCATTTCTGCTAGCACAGCAGCGCGGCAGAGGATTGCTTCGGATTGCGAGGTCACTGCACAAGTCAAAAACATACCTTCTGTTAACGCCATGATGGATGTCAGGATCCTAGAAATATTGTAGCTGCATGTTTTTTGGAAGACAAGCCAGCTCTGAGCGGGTTTTTGTTTGTATCTTGACAATAATTTTTTTTAGTATCACAGACAGATCCCCTCTAATTTTGTTCACAACAGGCGTTAAAGACCAATTACTAATACCCTTTCATCTTCCCCAACAATCCTGCAATTGCTCCACACGATAAACCAATTTACGCCTCCTCTTCAAAGTACGAGTTGCGCTAAGGATATCGATATTGATTGCGCGAGAACCGTGACCAAGCCACTCTAAACCACCCAATAAGTAAAGTACGTAGCCCAGCGTTGAAAATACCGAAAGACGTAGATGACATATTCGAAACAATCAGAAGACAAAATCTATTTGTTGGTAATCTACAGGCCAGCTAAAATCAAGAAAACAAACACAAGACAAACTGTGGGTTATAGTGATGGTAAATGCTGATGAACACAGTTACTGGACTAATTTACGCTATGGAAAGTCAACACCACTCGCTGCCGGGATCCACAATGCCGAGCCTCTGCCCTTATGCTGGCAGCAATAATTATTTAAAAAGAGTCCAGACTCCAGGGCCAAAACTAAAGACTTACTTTACTTGACATCTGTGACTGAACAGGGTAAATAGAATGTTCGAAAACAAGGCTAGCACTGGGGAATTACCTTCGACGTCAGGGGAGTCCTCATTCTTGTACTTCCAGGAAAAGTTATCTAATTAGAGTGTCCCTCAGATACTACTACGAGCACGTTAGAGTTCAACCTACAGAATAGGATGGCACGAGCTGGATGCATATCTAGTCAGAAGGGGTGCGGATCCTACAAGACATGTCGAAACATACATTCGAGGTCCTGCTCCACGCTGTTGTCGGCAATGGGCGCTGCCGCCGCCATCTGTACCAAAGCGATGGCAAAAAGACCAAAAGACAAAGCGAGCTTCATGGTGGCTAGATTTGTATGAGTGTACTTGGGGTGTTGAACTGTAGAATCGTTGCAGGAGGGCACCTGGTTTCTCGAAAGTCCGGTCCGTCCGTCTGTCCGGTCTGTCTGCCTGATCCGGCCGACCACAAATAGCACCAAACATAGCATTTTTTGCGGCTAGTAGTAGTGCGGCTCGTTGTATTGATCAGTTGCCACAATGGTCGAGCTCGTATGTTTAGGCCAAGCACTTTCAAATATTCATGGACTCTCACTCGAGACTATTCTGACCTTTGTTACATTGGCCTCTGCTGTCAAGGAAGATATGATATTAGCCCAGCCTGCAACATATGATGTATCTACACCTCCGGACTTCATGCCTCCTAGCGTGTCTTTGTTTTTGGGCTCCGCATGCTCCCTGACACAAGACTCAGTGCGAATCTGCTGGTCCACCTTAAAACATGATATCTGGAAAGACATATTCATGCTGCAGCACAACACCCACTCGCTGTTCAAACAATTTGGTTATCCCCATGGCCTGAGTCAGTGCCGGTGTGAATTTGACTCGAGTCTTTTTACTGATGGAGGATCATGTAGCCTACAAGACATTCTACCCTCCATTCAAGATGTGCACCGAAGCAACTTGTGAACGACGAGCAAATTGGTTGCTTTTGAACAAGGTTGAACAAGTCCTAGTTGTGTACTATGTGAGTCTCGAACATGGGACGATGCCTGCATATGATGTTGCAATGCAATGCGAACGTGCGTGTTACATCCGTCTCATTGTAGCTAGCCGAAGTCAATGTTGAACGGGTGCCAGGCTGCCAAATCACTTATCACCACAATTACAAAGTCAGCGATAAGGACCGTATCTACTACGACTACACGGAAAGACTGCCTGATGCCATTCAAGTCGGTACGCACCACTATGTCGATATTTGGGTGGGTCAGCTCTGGAAGACCATGATGCACGTCACTTGGTGTGTTTACATTGCCGCACTGTCTAAGTCTGGTTGCTGATCATATCTCAAGTACATCGGGAACTAACTGTGCCCGAATATACAACTCTTCTGTCAGCCGTCAAAACAAGTTTCCTCTTCAGTGGCCTTCGCCTGAGGTCACACTGGACCATGTTTGGGATATTTTCATAGTTATCTCTCTTCTCGAGGACTGCCGTCATTGCAAGTGCTCCCTCATTGTCAAATAGACTGGGACTCAATCAGAGCGGTTCAATGATGCCATGGCACATCGCAACCAGTGTATGCGTTCCTTCAGGCAGCCTGATGCTCGCTGTCACAAATGCACAAAGTGTTGCCGTGTATACGAAGCTTCTACTGATGCAGGTCTAGTATCTGTCAATAAATTAAACTGTTGACAATCTCATTGACATATTTTTTGTCTCTACAGCTGCACAATTCGTTTGCGTTGTTGTTGTTGATGGGGTCACAGTCAGCAGACCATGCTGCTCGGTTCCTTACTGCTTCAAGTCTCTGCGGTCAGTAAATGACCGCTTTTGTCATTTGCATATGGCCGAGCATGGGAACCAGTGCGCAATCATCAGCTGCACCAACAGTATTACCCCAGGCAGCAAGACATGTCAAGACCCAGACCACAAGGCTGTTGAGGCGCTGCACGCCTTGCATGGTCAATCACATTTCCAGCTTCGTGAACGACTTGAGCGGTCTTGTGCCATCGTGGATAATCCCGCTCGTGTGATTCCTAAGAGCGCTGTACCTGACGGCGATATGTCAGATGAAGGCCTGCAAGAATTTGAGGTGGATCATAGCCAAGATTGCTTGCCAGCACTGAAGAAGAAGAAACTTCGAGCTCAGTTTGGACGCAACCGCACGCACTGTGAGGTGTTGATTGTTGCTCCGTGCGGAATCATACATGACCGACAAACATTTTACCGTGCCGAAGGTGTCGGCAGTGTTGCGGTATGTTTTCTTCTACATCATCGCACTGCAGCTACTCGAACTGTTAGTAGGTGTTCATCAAAGAAGCCTTTCCAGATCCATCTCGCTCAGCACGTCAAAGATGACCCATTCTTCAACGACATTGGCCTATCCATTGACGTCTTTCATTTCAATTGCAGGCACTCCGAGAACAACCTCTTTTGTCAAGAAAATTGCAACCCCATGGCCTTCCCGGAGCTTACGGTTGATGGTGATGGGAAGTGGTACTTCAACTCATCGACGTTGATAGCATCTGAAAGTGTATCACCATGCTCCTCCCATGAAAGTGACTCGACAGAGACCTGGCGTGTGTGTTGGCGATGACGATGTGGTACAGGAGTGTCTCCGAGTGACTCAGAGACTTGGCGCTGGCGTCAAGGTGGGAGTTCTGGAGAGGAAGGTTCCTGCGAGGGTGTAGGTGGTTGCTGGGAAGAGCCTGGTACAACTGTCGGAGAAGAGGAGATGACTGAAGATTGTTTGTGCTGAATATGTTTCCGTGGAGGCGACGGTGAGATCAGAGGTGTGGATGAACATCGACGAGCTGGCCGCTTGTGGTGAGTCATGATGATGACAGGTTGGTCACTTGCAGGTTCTTCATCAAGGGCATCAGTGCTAGCACTATGTTGACGGCTGTGGATGCCGCCAGTGCATGGCCTCCGAATGGGTGAGGGTGAGTTAGCATAGAGCATTTGGTCAACCTCAAATTCACTTGATGATGGTACTAGTGAGGTACAAGGCAGTGGAAGCTGCAACCAGGAAGGGAGAGCTGGAGGCGATGGTTTGAGTTCAGCTTGTTGTTGGCTCTCTCGGTTGGCAGCACGAACTACAGCACGATCAGCGGCAAGGTGAGTGCGCACGTTCAGCTGAGTACTACTCGCAGCACGTGGTGACAAAGACAGAAGGAGGTCATCCAGTTCATGGCAATCTGTGACATGGGCATGCTTCAAGAACAACACATCACCCTCATGTACAACCACCATATGGTCTTGACGGATGCCCTGCCAACGACGTGTTGATATGTTGAGGAGTTGGAGCAAAGACGGCCCCACAGCGAGCTAATCTACTTCGCTGTGATGGACAGTGGGCAGCCCGAGTTCTGCGAGGATCTCGTATGAGCAGTAGAAATGTGGAAACTGAAAGCCACCTTGAAAGACAAAGCATGTGGCAGGGGCGCCATCCTACAATGATCTTGGTGAGTAAAATGAGATAATGATACACCGAAAACATACCTCTAAGAACCCATAAACGGTGACACTATACCTGGCACGTCGTGCACTCTCTATCCGCACAGCGTCATGATGGCAGTCTTCCTCCTCTAGCGACTGCTCACGCGTGATTTGTTGAGTGAACTGTGGTGGCATCTGTCATGCATATCGTGGAAGAGTTGATGACTTCACAGGTGGGTTGAGGGTACGTGATCCAGATGTGCCAGTGTCCTGGACAGGAGGGGGATCCGAAGATATAAGTTGATCAATCTCCTCGTCGTCTTCAAGTTCAGACACTGCACGGCCCTTGCCCTTGTCAGCAGAGGTAGCGGCAGGAGCAGATGGCAGAGGTGCAGGCACAAGATCGTGCAGGTCGTGTGGTTCATCATCCAGCTCGAGGTTCTCTGTTGATGGACCATGCATATCAATGTGATCTGCAACCCCTTCACAGCCACCTAAGGCATGACAGTGCTTGCAACAAACACGCCGCGAGCAGAGCGCATTGACTCAATGAGAACTGCAGCCAACAACAAAGCACTTCACTTTGGGCCTCAGTTTTCGAGGCGGTGATTTGCGACGACGAGAATCTGTGGCTTTGGGAGATGATGATGGGCTGCCCTTTCGACGGTAGGCGAAGCGGAACAACTGGCAGCGCTTCGTGGTTTTGCTGCGCATGTTCTTGCCGCCATCAGGTTTTGTACACTGGAGGATCATCTGTGAGGGAACAGAACATAGAGAGAGAAAGAAATAAACCTGCCTTGACCATCCATCTCCCTTGGTTTCCATTTTCATCGCTGCGACATATAAACCACTCCAGCTCGTCACCACATGTATCACATACTACCGTCCAATCCGGCGGAGGACCATCACCCAAGTCACTTGAAGTTGACATGACTAGAAAGACATGGTGGACCGGGGGCGGGTATCGATTAGTGAAGGCAAAAACCTGTATAGGTTACTGGGCGTGCATCGACAATGAAAAGACAAATGACGTACTTGGAAAACTATACAGGCAAACATACTGTTGTAGGTCGTGAAGACCAGGTAATAATGTTGATGAAGAGTGGGGCAGGAAGGCCAGTGGGCACCTCGCTAGTGAGGATGATGGTGGTTAGAGCAAGAAGGCGGCGACATCCTTGTCCCAGTTTCTAATCGTGTTGTTTGGTTGTGTTGTCAAAATGCGAACTTCAGATGGACTGACGGACGGACGGACGGACCCCCTTGGCGGACAGGCGGACAGACAGGCGGACCCGGCGGACTTTCGAGAATTCCGGTTTCTTGCGTTGCAGAGAGTAGATCCTTTATATCTTTGGGAAGCCGGGTTTCAGCCTGACCCAATTCACACGGACACTTTGTGTCGTATCATATGGACCGTCTCTGCGGACCTCTCTTCCCGAACAGTGACAGCTGGCAATTACCATTATGAAATAAAATTATGTGGGAATAGAGATAATCACTTACGAGCTATCAACTCGGAGTGCTCCTCTTATGCACAGACTTCGTGCCCTATGGCATTCAAGCCAAGCAGCATCTGACAAACCACCATTAGGTGGGTAATTTTCCGCTGACAAGCAAAGATGTTCAACAGCTGCTTTTCAGATATACCACGCACCTTCATGGCTTCGTATTCGCCTCCCCGAATGCACGATATAGAGCATCAACTTGAAGACTCCGAAGACGCCGTTCTCATCCCCACTAGACACCTCATCTCTGAGTATCATACTGTAGATCCTCCATCTGAATGGCCCGCTTAGACTGCACTAGGACTCTCCGTCCTCGCAGTTATTTGTGCATGCACGTTGTATATCGCCTCTGCCAGTTCTTCCGGGCCGCGTGACTCCCATGGGTTGCGCCAGCCTAACCAGTATCCAGGCCTCGAATCCCTCGACGACCTCTCGAAACAGCGAAAGGGTACGTACATTCAGTCATTATGGACGCTGTCCCATGAATGGACCTGTGCAGCCAGCGCCAATGATGTACTTCCCGAACGCCATCGTACGGGCGAACAGAGCCTTACCTGACCAAATGTATGCTTCAGGCTCGCACGCTATGCTGAGCGAGAATGTAAGCGGATCTCCTCGACCTGAAGCGACTTGGTCATTTATAGTGTTCCAGGACTCAATGTTCTACCAGTGGCACCTAGGCCAGTCCAAGTTCACCTCTTGCTACATCGACGGCGTTGTTCCTACTCCCGAAGATGGTGTTGCGGCCAACAAGTCCTACACTTCGTTTGGCTCCTTTACCGAAATCCAGATTTGGAACGTTACCACTCCTGTTGAGGGCATGAAGAGCCTCAGCTGGAACATGTGACCCCAACGAATCGTACTGATGGGCACTGTCGCTTTCCTTCCTGATAAAAAGAAGATCGAGCAGCTGCATTTCGAAGATGGCTGGCAGTCGCAGCTGTCAACGCGGTTCTCGTGTGGTAAGAAAATGACGGTTAGCATCGAGGTTACCTGCGATGGATGTAGACTTGAATTCGAGCTAATATTCTCATCTCCTCCGTTGGGTGAGTGTGACTGTACATATTACAGGTTGAGGCGACAGACTGATCCATAGTGTAGCTTTCGACCTCATGGAGATGGGATAGATTAAACGTTCACTAGGGACGATTGCAGAGCTACATACTTGTCATCAACCTTCAATTCTCGAAGTATCATACCAAAGTCACGTACAAAGCTCTATGGTCGCGAATCGGAACAATCAAGTACTTTATGATAGCTGTTTGCAAAATTGTTGGCTCCTCCAGCGAGACTTTGGATTTTTCGTCCTCTGACAAGTTGGTGTGGGCTTCGTCAAAACACGCCGTTCTTGCTGCATGCATAATTCTCCGAGCGACTTTGTCTCTCTCTTTTTTTGCCCATCATAGTAACTGAAATCATTCTGTATGCTAATTCAAGTGTAGCAGTCAATCAACATGGTTATCGTTATAATTCACTACGTACCAGCGAACGGGGGTCTGGCACGGGGAGAGTATGTACTTAATCTCGGACCTAATCGTGCGTCGGTGTGCGAAAACAGTGACTGTGATTACACGTACGTCCTCCATGATCATTCAGCGTTGCAGTGCCTGTAATGAGGCTATCTGTGCTATTTTCTCGACCGTGGAGCTGGATATGGTGAAGAGATTGTGGATATCTTGCTGCAGGTGAGTACGGTGTCAGTTTTTATGCTGCTTCACAGATATTAGTGGTAGTCAGAGTGAACGATTTTCAGGCGATTCAGCGTGCGATTACGAGATGATTCAAAATGCGAAAATCGTGTGAAAATCGCCAGTTACTTTGAACACGCCATAGGGCTACTAGAATGGATTCTCAACGCGATTCTGCATTTTCCACCCGTCATACACATACAACTCTGTGGTATATCAAAAGAAAACCAAAATCCCGGTCAGACAGCCCAAAACTGCAGTTGCAGCTGTCGAACAGCCTAATGACGAATCACAAATCGTAGAACTCTTGTGCACCAAACGAACCTTCAACAGCGCGTGTTGCAAGATAACCGTCTACTGTCATGGCAGCACATAGCGAATAGCGGTCTCAAACAAATACATCACTAAGCTGTGCACGTTGTCCATAGGGAGCTCGTCCGTGACGCCACGCGTAAGTATTCTCGTTCTTGCTCGTTTCGTCGAGGACGACAAACTCCAAGCCATCGCCGACGAAGTCATTCTGAAGACTATCTTTGAACGCCTGTCATCACGTTCAGACGCAATCTTCTGAAGCATTTTGCGAGAGAGGCCAGCTTGATTGAAATTGCGCAATAAGGATTATGAGCTGATGATGGATGTCGTGTTCCATGTGCAAGCTTCATCGAGGAAAAGGTCTGAATCTTCGGCATGGAAGTCTTCGATCGCTGTCATGAGTGCTCGCGTGATTATTCGTGTGCGGCCGACGAGTGGAGAAGGGGGCCTAACAACAGTGCCGAGTTCTTCAAAGATCTTTCGCCAACGAAAGCAGCTGGCCTGAGAAACACCGAGCACCGAGCAGATATCCTCGAGCTCCCAACCCTGATCCCAGAGGCTAAGTGCACATTATTTCATATCTTTGCTTATTCGTCTGTTAACCATGTTGTACAGGCGATGGAACAAGGTAGAAGTTCGTCGTCTTCGATATCTGCTGGCGTCAAACGTCGTCCGAATGGTTTACAAGGGGATTTCCTTTTTTGTCACGCGCGCCTCCAAATTTTCATGAATCTCGTTAGTTTCGCACACAGCTGTAAGGTGTTGAATAATACTATCGAATTCGGGCTCCATGCCTTTGGCCATTTAGAAACCAACATCAAGATTTCAGCGCGGGCAGGCACAATCATTATGCCAGCTAAAATTCGACCGGCGAAACAGCAACTTTTCAATCTCAAAGGTGTCCCAAGGCTGGATGGTTTCGGTTGATCACTTCCATACGCGGCATTCCCTCTGGTGACATGTTGCGCTTCTGTTGCCTGGAATGTTCTTAGGAGAGATCTGATGGTTGCGAGGCTCGCAAGTATGGGCCATGAGGGTGAGTACCGAACGCAGCGGACGCTTGTACAACAGCTGGTTGCATTTCCTTCTAGCTTCTACGTTGATGTATTCCACCGCGTCGTCGTTGAGTCTGATGACCCACTGGCCAGCACTTTGCCGTCTGAAGAAAAGTCACCATATCGGCCGACGTAACGTTCGCCGGTTTTTCCATCCTATGCAATGCGTTTTCCATTGATATCACCGCCTGATATTAACCGCCCATCTCCACATATTGAGCTGCTGTTCCCTGGAATTTTTTTAGCGGGGCTTCCTCTGATCTCTTCAGATCTGTTGCCATTTGCATTGAAGATAATTAGTTTTTTCAAACTCTGTTATCATTGATCATCGAAAGGGTATTCATCCTGTCTTGATACAGTATTGGATACCTTTTACTCACACTAAATCAGGAACTATGCGAGTGGAAAGAATTAATGTCTCGTGCTCACCTAGTGAAGCATAAGGGAAAGTGCCCAGAAAGAGACGGGCGATTCGTCCTGCTCTGATTGGTACATCATGCATTATGTTCGAGACTTGACTAAATTCCAAGGAATTGGAAACTCTGAGTCCGTCCGGCCGGGTCCGTCTGGGTCTGTCCGAGTCCGCCTTGATCATCGACATCTTGTCCATGATTCATATTACGTCGATTAGACCAACCCACTACAGTTTTACTCAGTTGTCGGTACGAACTACGTCATTTTCATGCATTCTCGTTCACGTAGATAGATCTATGAGTAAGATGAAACAATTAAGACGATTTTATCTTAAGAGATGGTAGTTGATGGCACCTTGCCCTCAGCGAAGGCGTTACGAGGAACATAAGATCTCAGGTGGGTCCACTGATGCGACTGGTGGTTTTGAGCTTGGGCTTCTTCACCGCTCTCTTTGTCCCATACATCCAATAAACGATCCAATAAACGACAAGTGGGCCGAACCTCATCACTCATGGCAACAGAAGTAAATAGCACAGCGTCGTCCATGGAATTCGTTAGACCGTTAAATCGTAACAAGGTAGTGCAGGACTCGTAGAAATAAGACCATTGTCATTCTTCAACGGCGTGTGTGAGTCTGTGTGAGTAGCATCATGATAGAGATCATGGCTGTAGAGCTTGAGAAGTCGATTAGAACAAGCAGCAATAATGAAAAAAAATACCACCGAAGTTAATACTGTAAAGTGTGCATACGGTACGTCATGGTCAGCAGGGTGCCCACTGCCAAGTGTACAACCTGCAAAGGCATGAATGGTGGCTTGATGATCATTGATGGCAGTGAGCCGGACGGACGGACGGAGCCGCAATTTCCAGTTCCCTGTAGTCTGTAGAGCCTAAGAATCAGAAGTCCATCTGAATAAGCAACGATGATGAGCTGAACACGTACCACCGAAGCTAATACTGCAAAGCGTGCATACCATAGCACCGTCGCGGTTGGCAAGGTGCCCAGTGTGCAAAGGTATGAATGGTGGCGGTAAGTGAACCGGACAGAGCCGGACGGACGGAGCCGCAATTTCCAATTCCTTGACTCCTCCTCCTCAAGTCTTAGGAAAGAAATGCAGGGATGGTGGAAAGTATTTCCAGTTTTCAACTAAAGTAAAGAGACTGAAGTGTAGGGTACAATTGTGACCTGTCCTTTGGATTACGGTAATATTCGGCTCGAGTAAGAAGGGCATCTTGCGTAAAATCTAGCCTCGAAACAAACCAGTCTAAGCAGCCCAGTCGATATCCTAACCAACCAACCAATCCCCGTTACCCCCAAATTACTCATCAAACCCACCCATAGCCCGCACACCCTCCACCAATCGCTTATACTCCCTCAACAGCTCCCCCACCTCCGAAACCTTCAAATCATCCTCCGTGCACTCCGTAAACCGCTTGTTTGGCGCAGGGAGCCGCATCGAGATGGGAGATGGCGCGCGTGATGAGGCTGGTGAGTCGAAGCGAGTGGGGTGTGACGGAGCTAGGAGTGAGGAGCGTGTGATAGGGGACTGGCGCAGAGTAAAGTAGAGACACAGCGTATTAGTAACAAGACTTTGACACGTGAAATAGGGCAAAGACAGACCTTGTGTGCATCCGTTCCTGAGAGCCTCGACAGCCCTGGCACCTGCGCCAGCCGATCCGTCAAGCTCTTCCTCCCCATCGCAGCAAACTTCCTCTTCTTCTTCCGCGCCTTCCCGCTATTCCCACTCATCATGCTCTCAAAACTCCGAATGCTCCTCGCATCATGCGCAGGTTCCTCTTCCTCACTCTCATCTTCCTCTTCCTCATCCCCTTCCTCCTCATCCGCCTCTTCTTCGCTCTCCTCCTCGGTGCCGTCCACCTCCGCTTCATCATTCACATAAATGGAGCGTATAGATCCCGGCCGAGAAGATACTTCCACAAGCTCCCTCTGCCCTTCCTCCTTCCCCTCCCCCTTCTTCTCCCTCCCCGGCACCAAACTCGCAATCGAAAACCCGCTCTCTCGCCTCAGTAACCCGGTCGGAAGATTCCACCGCGCATCACCTGTGTCTGGCCCAGACGTTGAATGTGAGGTTTGGGTTGGGGCAGATGGTAGGAAGGAGCGGAGGACGCCGAATGAGCTGTCGACGACGCCGGAGATGACTTTGTTAGCAGATCCTGCGATGGCGTCGACGCCTTGTTCTACGCGCCCGCGGAGGCTGCCGGACGCGTCTGCAGGTGCGTCTGGTGGAAGTGTGGTGCGCACGATTGGGATTGGGGTGAGGTCTGCGGTACTGTAGCATAATGGATGTTAGTGTGAATTAAACGAGATGGAGAAGTTGACAAAAGAACCTACCTAACAACACCAACACCCCCAACGCCCACAGCCTTAAGATCTACATTTTCCAAGAACTCAACAACAGCCATCAAATTGATCAAACAATATCTCTCTTCTCCGCCCGCGAATGCAGCATTGCGGTAACGCTGCGTGAAAAGGAGGTGCGAGACCAGGCGTGCGGGGTTTGACTTGACAACTGCGAAGATGAGCAGTGGAAGGAGGACATCGCCAGATACTGTCGTTGGTTGCTGGACAGGCGGAGAGATGGTCAGTCTGGGCGAGGGGGCGCGGGGTGGGATGTGGATGTGGGAGGCATCAAGCGAGATAGGTAACTCCTCAGGTGAATCGTGAGTGGCATCCCCATCGGGTCGTGCATCAGGGGTCATCAGTATAGGCATGGGTGAGGATAGCTCATCGGGAGACGCCATGAGGGGAACGTCTACTGCTTCGATCGGCGCTGGCGGCGGTTCATCGCCGTTCTTGAGTTTTATTGGAGGAAGGCGGGAAAGACCATCTTTGTGATTGAAGTCACGACTCAGGGGATAACACACATATATGCATATTACTCGCCTACTACGAGCTTGTGGACTGCGACAAGCACAGCGGCCTTGTCTCCGGGAGATCTGCATGCAACGTCAAGCTGAGATAACGCTGTGAAAGTATCAATGAAGACAACTGGTCAGCACGTGAATAGGGAGACGAAACTTACTCTCTCCACATGCTCGGACCACGACATCGATCTCGGAGCCAGCACTGCCTACATCGACATCAAGATGCTCGAGCCCGAGATCAAGAAGGTTGAGAGCTGCGATATGGCTTGACAGTGCTTCGTCATGCGAGGCATCATCAGAGTGAGATGGGAGGAACAATCTGCTCGAAATCAGCGCTATGAAGAAGAAAACTCGCCGATTCACGCACCGATCGTAAAACAAGGTAGATAATGTCCCCTCCACCACCTCAACAACTTCCTTGACCCTAGACTCTTGTTCTGCTTCCGACGCGCCCTTCTCTTTCTCCATTTCAACTCGTACTTCTCTCTCCAATTCCACATAGAAATCCTGGAATTTCTCGGACAATTCTTCAGGGCAATCCTTCCCTGCATCAAGATTGACGGCCCACGTCCCATGTTTACTCGGACTTGCACCGATATCATGAAGTTTCTTCTTCCCAGCTGGACCTCTGACGAACGGAAGTAATGGAGACGCGAAGGATTGCACACGCTCGATCACCATCGCAGGAACACCGGCCGTTTCAAGCGTTGACGTGAGTTCAGATTTTAGTGCAGCAAGAACTTCACGCATTACATCGTGTCGATGTACCGCACGTGAAATACTGAATGCGCTGATGAGTGTGGGATGATCTTCTACGGGAGGTAACGACGTCTGAATGGGTGGGAGAGAAGCAGTGATTGTCGGCGGTGTTGTTGTGGCTTTCCCGCCGAATAGAGAAGCAAAAGGCATGGCGAGGCGGGAAGATTGGGCAGCGTGTGTGGGGCGTGGAGGTAAGGGTGGTTTTTGTGGACGGACTTGGATTGGCAGGGAGGTGCTGTGTGCTGGGACTGCATATGAGGGGTATCCGGCGTCTGGTGGGATTGAAGGGAGTGGGGCAAGGGATGAGAGAGTGATGTCGGGGAACTTGGTTGGCGGGAGTGAGGAACGGAAGGTTAAATTTTCACTGAAGTTAACGTTAGGTTCATGGTCGCGAGGAACATGGATGAAACAAACCTAGATAGATGCCCACGCAGACCAGACAGTGTAACCACTGGAGTATCTTCACGGGATAAAAGATCGCACATGACCACATGATCCGATACAAAGTCGGGTGTGATTTTCTCCTGGCCAGAGGATTGCTCAAGTGGAAGCAGTAGGGACGCCTATGAAACCGTTTCTCCTTCAGCTCGATGGTCACAATCGATGGAGACACGCACCTTTCCCTTGGTAATGGCACCCCATATTTCAGCCCACTCCTCGGTTTCGCCGTCCTGGCTCAGCTTCTCCAAAATCGCCCATCCCAGACATGCAGTGTCGAGCCCAATGCCCTGTGCCGCTGCTTTGAGATTCATCAACTGAAGCTTGCTAGTCGCACCGCCCGTGGGTTGGTGCTGCGGAGAGACTGAAACTGGCGGTTGGGCACTCGTACTTGTAGTAGGTAATCTCTGTCTGGGCGTGTATGGAACGTATTTTGTTGCTGAGGAAGATTGGGTGTCTGGTGTCGGACTGGGGGAAACTGAAGATGGACCCGAAGAGAGAAGCGGGTGGGTGGCAAGGTTGTCACGAGAGACAGTCCTGGCAATGGATGCGCCTTGGACGCGTCCAATAGAGACAGCCGGAAAGTATCCTTCTCGCCGTGTAGACATTATGGTGTAAATGACGTTGAAGTTGGTCTATCCAGAGATGCGCAGTCGTGACCTTACATGCGAAAGTTGCTATCGCTCGAACGATAGCCTGTCGACAATCTTCAACCTTCAAGCAAGGCTGCCAGTGAGCGCTGGTCTAGTAACTAGAAATCTGTTGTGACAATCGTTGGTAGGAGTTCGACATTGGACAAGCAGTCAAGTCCCCAAAACCCTTTGCCAAAAATAGTAAGCTAGCCCCTATGTCACGACAAGATACTTATACAAGGATGTGCAGATCATCATGCCCAAGTTTATCCTCAGGTTGTATAGAAAACGCGTTCATGAATACATTGAGAGAAAATGGAATATAACGCCCAATACCGATGTATGAGATATAGCGACAACCGGTCAGGCGTCGAAACGACCACGACGACAAAGTAACCCGTCCTGCATCATGATGATCATGCTGAATCAGCTCCCCAGCTTTTTTTATAGCTCTTCTGAGAGGTCAGATGAAGGTCCTAGAAACTGCACATCCACTGCCATCCGAATACCTGGGCATTATAGTTGCGTAGGTTGGCAAAGTAGGAGTGTCAATGCAAGATACATGTAACACAGGCGATGACGCCTGAGTAGTACCAGATGGGAAAGAAATCAGCAATGTATGTGAGACCCTGTCGTAGGTGGGGTGACCGTCTTAGATGATTCAGAGACAGTGAATCAAGTTGCTCGGCGTCATCAGTACTATAAATTTAATCTGCGACATGCCGCATCAGCTAGAGTAGAGGGCATTATACGTCTCACTTGATCTGAGCTTTACCATGAACATAAACTTGCGATGGTAAGTAGAGATGTTGAGCATTAAGTGATCATGAAGGTGTGATGCAGTCAACACCCGGGCCCGAAAAATGGTCGGGACTCGGCAATACGTAATGTTACAGTGATTTCGCCTCTGTTCAGACTTCATAGCACTCCAGATCTTATTCTTCCAAGGCCAAGCCTATAGTTTCATGATGGCTCTTGCAAGTGGTCTGCGGCAACCTAAGGAAGCGAACAAAGGCAAAAACGAGTTGCGCGACGGCTCATCCCTCTCGATTTTACAAACCTAGATGACAGTTGGTCATCAGCCGGCACCACTTTGCCCAGTACATTCTTGCGTCCAAAGGGTCTTATTGACGGTTCCTCGTAAGTTTTTCCATGCTTCTGGCCGGAAATTGCTGAAATTTCGCAGGTCAAAGGAACTTATTACGCACCGGTAGTGGACACTGGAGATGCTAGCAATTGTCGAGGACACGGTCCAGGAGCTGAAGAGACAGGGTCGAGAGGATCACAACTTCTCAAGCTGTAGAATACTGCGTTCGTAACCTCAACTAGTCTATGTTATCGATGAACCACCTGCTGGGCAGAAGAAGCTTCGCGATATTGGCGCCAGCCCGAGTACACACGGGACATGGGTTGTCAATTTCTATGCGAAAAAGGTTCGCCCTGAAGAATTGGCTGAGGAGTCCTATATGGAATTGGAGAGAGAAGCATGGATCGAAATCAAGAGACAAAAGGGCGATGCATCGGAGGAAGAAAAAGAGCCCAGGAACCCTATCTACCCTGTTTTACGATTATATAAGGGTGGGTTTTCCTGTTCTTTGCACTGATATCTCACTCTATATCTCGCATGACAAAACGCTGTCAAGGCATATCGCAGCCCTCAACTGCCTTGATCTCAGTTTATATGTATGTGATATTCCATGAGTCGTGAATTGAATTCAAACGAAGATGGTCTATCCCGCCTTCCAATAAAAACACAACGACTGCATTGAACAACCCGAGCAACCTGAACCACCGCATCGAAAAGCGACTGCACTGCCAGGACCGATCGAAGCAGTCAACGTTCCTCTCATGGCTTATCTCTCGATGTGCTATCCTCACCTTACCGTGCCAATACCGATGGTCCCCGATCCATATTCGATGGGCAAGCCACTCACTATTGACCTGAGCAGTTGCCTACCTTCCCCGTCCCACCGGGACCATCTTCGAGCACTACTACCTCCCACATCATGTGTACGAGGGATTTGTCGCGGTACGTTGAGATCATACAACCTAAAATCCTTTTCATTCTCAAGTGAGTTTTATTGACAGCTCTTCGGCTGGGACCTCAAGTAATTGTGGCAAACCACGAACCAGCAACAGTGCCATGCGCTGTTCCGGGAAGGTAGAATTGGAGCAGCTATCGAAACGTGCCAATACATCATGGACAAGAACTACGAAGGCTAGGTTACATGCTTGTTTCGCGGGCAACCTTCACTCAGCTCTCAAGTAAGAACGACGCGCACTCTATGCTTCCAATGAAGATGCTGTGCTCGCGGCGAGCGGTTTGAACACGGACGTTTGAACGAATTTCATTCGTACCTTGACGGTATCTGTCTTACATACATAACCCTTTGTACTTGTATTATATGCCGGCTCACCTGAACAGGACAAATACTGTCTTTCGACGGGAGGGTATCAATGAATAAAGCAACGCTGGGCCCTGCACCACTACGGAATAGAGCCGTCGTGCAAACGTTGAGCAATATCTCTAAAGCGTTTGACAGGAGCGACACTCTTTGAACAAACTTCATAGATTTCAGCACAAAATGGTGCGTATCTATCCCAAATGTCTATCAATGGCATGTCGAGACGCCCGCGAACCTTGACATAGTGGGCGACCCAAGCAACAGGCAAGAAAACAAAGAACAAGTGATCAAAGGACAGACCTAGATGCAAGCGGGAGTCGTCCTCGATTCCATAGATCTGGGCTGATTTAAAATCCATTCAGTAATCGGTTATCCGATAATCAGTGTTTGATATGACTATAATTATCTTCAACCAATACAAAATGCAAATACGCCAAGCCGTATGTACATGCCCAAAGTGCCAGGAGATAAAATGAAGCCCCACAACCGTCGGATCTCCGCGAAGAACATTCGAGGGAACCGAGGCCCAATATCTCGCTGGGTAGAACACCACGTCTTTCGGTGTTGACTTGATTGAAATGCAAGGGAGCAGCGCATGCTTGTCTCCGTGCGGACCCCTGATTGACAATGTCAGTCGGAATAACTTCACTTGGCTTCTTGCAATACGTTCAAGAGTTATTGATGTCATAATGTGGAAGTGTCTTACTTTGGTGCGTGGTCGGGATGCGCCGGCGGATTTGAGTTGGCATGAACGGCCGTCTGGGAGCTCCGTGCTCACACTTGGCATTGAGTTAGGGTTGGGTTCATTCATCCCATATTCGATAGTGTTTTTCAATACCTGCAGTGATAGTGTGTCATGCGATCAGTCTCATTGATTGCATCTGGAAAGCTGCGGCGACACTCGGAGGCATGAGGTCAGTCGCTCATATCGTCAACCAAGGCGATTATGATAACGGCCTCATGTCTTGGGCGTCTAGTAAGAAGTTAATGTTATGAAGCAGCATAAAAACGCCGCAGTACAAGCACCTCTGCAACTTCGAGCTAGACACCTACCCGTCCACCTCATCCACCTCGACCGTGCTCACTACCGTCAACCTTCAGAAAATGGCGCAGCCCATTCCAAGCACCATACCCATTCGAGTGTTTGAAGATCATGAAGCTCGTGTATCCGCAGTCGCAGTTTTCCCCGACAAGCAACGTATGGTCACATGCTCGTACGACGCGATGCTCCGTCTGTGGGACTTGATGACAGGTGTGGTGGTGAAGAAGATGAAGGGGCATGGTAGTCCGGTGCAGGCATTGGCGGTATCACTGGATGGGCTGTTGATAGCAAGCGGTGATACCGACGGCAAACTCATTGCATGGGATGGGAAAACTGGCGAACGTTACCTCACCCCATACTATGGTGCAACGTGCCAACCTACCGGTACCCACACCGGTTGGATATTATCGCTGGACTTTTCTTCAGACGGCAGAGTGTTGGCCTGTGGGTCATCAGACTCAACGACGACTCTGTGGAACACAGAAACGTGGAAGCTGGAAGGAGATGCAATTAGCTGTGGTACAAGCGTCCGCTGCGTTCGCTATTCGCCGTCGTCGCCCCCACCAATTCTTGCAATTGCAACAGAGCACAATATCCAAATTTACAACGCTGGCTACTACGCTTGGGGAAGCAGGTCATACTGTAACAACTACTACCCATACAACACCTATTCATACTGCAGTTCATACGACGATCACTACTATTCCTTTCAGGCTCAGCACAAGGCAACGATTAGTGAAGGACACAACTACTCACTCGCGTGGACGCCAGATGGACGTCTACTCACAGGGGGAGATCATCAAGATCCCACCATACGAGAGTTGGTCCAGGTTCAGGATTCATCCTGCAATTGGACCTGGAAGCAGGTCAGTGATCCTTGGAAGGGCCATTTCAAGATTATCCGCGCCATTTCTGTGAACTCCAACGGCACTCTCCTTGCCTCCGCATCTCATGACAACCGTGTCCTCCTCTGGAGCCTCTCAGATCGACGAACCATCGCCGCATTCAAGCACTCTGGCCATGTCAAATGTGTCACGTTCTCCGCAGATGGCAAGCACATCCTCAGCGGAGGTGTGGATAAGAAGATCTCAGAGTGGTCAATATCCGAGGACGCTTTGCTATTGGATGGCTCAAAGGATGGTCTCATGAAGGAGCGAGTAACACACCAGGTAAGTTCATTTCCATGTTCCCGCTCCTTCGTCATCTAAGCGTCTGTTTCATGCCAAGCCTCAGGCGTCTTCTGATTTCAAGGCATGTTCCCTCCTTTGACTCTGATAACGCAATGCAAACATGTTTCATGCAGGTCCTCGTTATTGACACGACAGTTCGCAATGCGTGCATAGCTGGTGACTGGGCTACCGCTGAAAGGGTACTAAATCTAGAGATCGACGCTGGTACCTGCGATCAAACCTCCTATGCCAATCGCGCATTTGTTATGGCGCGAAAATGCGACTGGAATTCCTCGCTTCATGATTCAATTGAGGTGAGATGATAGATCGACAAATCATGGCCCCCTTGGATAAGCTAACTCCGATGATGATTTAGTCACTGAGCATTCAACCCTCGTTTTCAGGATATATTTCCAAAGGCATTGCACTCTGCGGGAAAAAGCAGGTCCGGGTCGCGAGGACGTCATTTGACCTGGCGTCCGTGTTCACAAACGGCGATTTAAAGACCGATCATTTTCTTTTTTTCATCAAGGTACGTATTATTTATCTTACATCCTCCATACTTCATGGCAATTTTCAGACTATCGCGCTGTTCAATGCAAATGAACATGAAGAGGCAATGCAGCGCGTCGAAGAGCTGGCTATATGTCCCGATGCAGATCCACTTGCTTGCCGTATCGTGGAAGTGAGTACCACGCACTCGATCACGCCCAGGTCCGTGGGCTGGAACTGATTCTACCCTTCGCACATCAGGCATATCTACGTGTCCAACTCGGAAACATTGCCATGGATGACATGCGCTACAACGAAGCCATTGATCACTTCACTGCCGCCGTCAACGCTAGCGCTTACTTCCATAAAATGGAAATTCATTCGATGTACGAGGAATTTACCGTGGTACGTTCATATACTGGATATCCTTTTGATACTCAACCGAGTATTCTTTGCAGCTCTTTGGCTGGGACCTAAAGTCCTTGTGGCAAACCGCAAACCAGCAACACTGTCATACGCTCTTTCGCGCAGGTAGAATAGGAGCAGCTATCGAATCGTACCAATCCATAATAGAGACGAGTGATGGCGCTACGAAGACCAGCATGTGTGCCTGGTTCGCTGGTAAGCAGTCGGCAATGTCATCCCGTCTACAATTCTCAACCATACGTCCCTCAGCTCTTCAGTAAAAACGAAGCATGCTAGATGCTGCACTCGCGGCGAGCGCTTACTCATGCAGTATCGATCACGGATATCCTCCAGCCGTTTTTGTTTGTACCTTGTCAGTATCTGTATAACGCAAACAACCCTTTGTACTTTTAAAGTTGTATCATATGTCATATGTCGGCTCACTGGAACTGGTCATCTACAATGCTTACACCCACCGTTCGGTGCGTGCCCTTCACTTTTGGTTTATTGATTTGCCTTTAGTCGAGTCACTGCTTTCCCCACACACATGTTCATTCCATCCACCTCACGTGAATTGGACTGCCACTGTAAGCTGAACAATTCCCTCGCAGACTTTACTCGAGTAGTTGTCTAATACGCCACGTTGTTCTCGATCTCTGTCTGATCAAACACAAAGCTGTCATACCAGCATTGCAAATCCATACGTGATCAATCAATTTAACACAGCACAAATATTACATAAGAGACGAGCGATGTTGAACAAGACAAGAAATTGAATTAGGCTGTGACTCCGAATGAGGGGGCGACACAAACAGGGGGAATATTAAGATAATCCCTTCCTTAAGCCTGAGTAATCTTATAATACCCAGTAAACGAATCACGTTAAGAGGTTCCAGGTCGTGATCTCAGCGAGCGCCCCGAGATTATACTCCCAAATCATGGGGGTCTCGATGGCACTTTGCAAGACAGCGGTTTCTTGATAGTCCGAAGTGATGTAGACGCGCGGGATCGGAGTGAAATCTGCTGTGGCGTTGCTGCCGTCTCTGCGTTGTGTACTGTGAATGTCTCGCAGGAGAAATGAGAGGAAGAGGACATACCCAACACCGTTGAAGTACAGCGCCAGAACAGGCATCAACTCTCTACGGTTCGCAAAGCCCGGTAGTTGGGCCATACACTGAAGTGGGGACAAAAAAAACAGAAGTCGTGGATGGTCACACACCGAATACAATGTCTTGAGTGAGCCCAGTATTGTTCCAGACCTGCAGGAAACCATCGACTCCTTTCTGAGGGTTCTACACAACTTGTTTATGAGTTGTCAAGATGAAAATAAACGAAGGCAAGGCTTACAGAGAACTGGAAGACATTGTTGTCCTCGGTCAGGGTGGTTTTTTCGCTGAGTTCCAGCATAATGGGTTGTGTTCATGTTAGGAATCGCGCAATACATGATGGACTTACTGGTGCGTGTAAATCGCCTGCATCCTGTATGGGCCTGGGATGAAGTCATACTTATGTCGGCAATCAGACAGGAAAGATATAGAAAAACCCATTCGTCTTTCCGAAAGTGCTGATTCTGTAAATTTTCAAACTTGGCATTCGTCGCGGGCAAAAGCGAGAGTACTTACATCCAAACAACGGGGTGGAATGTCTCGCAGAGGTCCTCCATGTTGCCATCAAAAGTGAGCAGAAACGTCGAATCCTTACCGAGATCTTTGCTGCAAGACGGTCGGGTAAAAATGCGACGACAGCGCGACAGTGCAAGGACACTCACTTCTGAAGTTCTACGGAATAAGAATCCGGAAGTCTATCTAGGCATCAACCCCGATAACGATAGCCAATCCATGAAAGGAGTTAGGTTAGTGCGCTGGATTGTTTCGTCTGTCTGCGAGGGAATCCCAGAGGAGTATTGAAGATGAATTGGTGTTAGTATTGGTGCAAAGGTGATGAAAAAAAAATCAGGAAGGAAGACAGCACTTACGTTTGACGTCATTTCCTGCACCATTGACTCGTCAATCCCCGCTTCGGACCTTGGGATTCCTGCCTACTGACTCTCGTTTCGCGGTGGCAGTGACGAGGGATGTGAGCGGGAGAAGTACGAGTGGGTGGATTATGTGGACTGCTAGGGGATGGCATATATAAGCAATCAAACGTAATTCGAAAAAAAAAAAAAATTAAGTTTGCGAAGCTGAAGCGCGAGGCAAGACTGCAGAGGTGCATGAATTACTGAAAACAATGCACAACGCGGACAATGTTTGCTATTCAACTGACATATCTCGTGGTATGATGAACTAAGAAGCTGATACCGACTCGCCGGATGCAACAGAAGCGCGAACGGGAACTCTGGGAACACAAAACACCAAAATAGATAGTATTGAGCTCAAATGTGGGAAAGTCGTTCATCATTGTCCAGCGCAACAAGTACTACCACTTACACTGCTCAGAATATCGGAGATTTGGCCGGTCTGGGACAACGTCTGGGCCAACGTCTGGGCCAATGTATGGGCCAATGTATGGGCCAATGTATGGGCCAAAGTCTGGGCCAAAGTCTGGGCCAAAATCTGGGACACGACGGCAGTCAACGGCACTCCTAGCGGAATTTAAACCCTGCTCGATGCTTCGAACAACCATGCCAATCAATCCCGCCAACGTGCCCGCCGCTGCCTAACATCCCGCCAATATTATTGGAATGCTGCATGTTCATGCTCCGCCTCAACTCTCCCCTCCCACTCAACTCTCCCCACCAATCTCCCTCCCCGCCCACCTCCCCACCCGCCCATCTCCTTGTCTGCCCATCTCCTTGCCTGCCTGCCTCCTTGCCCTCTCACCTCCTTGCCCAGTCACTGCCCATTTTCTTTCGTGCCCGTCAATATGTGTTCATTGCAACAAGAGCCCCTTCAGTGAATTCACCTGTCTCAGATGGGCAGCCGGGCGTGACAATGTACCAATAGAGACGGGTCACCCGGTGCCGGCCCATGGCAATAATTGTACCATGTTAGATGAGTGGGCCGAGGGGGTGGAGTGTCCAAGGCAAACAGATGGGCCAGGTGTATATAGTATAGATGGTAGTATAGCAATGTACTATATAGGAAATTATGAATAGTAGTAGTGAATCCAGTGTGTGATAAATGAGTGGGCCGGAGGAATGGAGTGCAATATAGACGAGTGGGCCAGGGAACTGGGGTGTGATGGAGACGAGTGGGCTGGTAAATGAGGTGCAATGGAGACGAGTGGGCCGGTACATCAGGTGCAATAAAGATGAGGGGGCCGGAGAATAGGGTGCAATTGAGACGAGTGGGCCAGTATAGCAGGTGCAATGGAGATGGGTGGGCTGGTAAATAAGGTGCAATTAAGACAAGTGGGCTGGTATAGCAGGTGCAATGGAGACGGGTGGGCCGGTAAAGGAGGTGCAGTGAGGACGAGTCGGCTGGCGTTATTGGGTGCAATGAAGATGAGTCGGCCGGTGATATGGGGTCCAATGAAGACGAGCTGGCCGGTGATATGAGGTCCAATGAAGACGAGTTGGCTGGTGATATGGGGTCCAATGAAGACGAGCTGGCCGGTGATATGAGGTCCAATGAAGACGAGTTGGCCGGTGATATGGGGTGCAATGAAGATGGGTGGGCCGGCATTATAGGGCGCAATGGAGATGGGTGGGCTGGTGATATGGGGTGCAATTAAGACGAGTGGGCCGGTGATATGGGGTGCAATGAAGACGGGTGGGCCGGTATTATGGGGTGCAACAACGACCGGTATTTATGTAACTGGTTGCTTGTGGTAACATAGCACTCAATCCGGCGATTCCACTGGTGGTCTGATCATGTAAAATGGTTAAGATTTGACAAAGTTATGAGCCCTACAAGGGAAAGCCATAAATTTAGAGGATATTATGATATATTGTATCTAGACCATTGCAACTGGTATTTTTTGACCGGTATTTACATGACCTGTTGCTTGTGGTAACATAGCACTCAATCCGGTGATTCCACCAGTGGTCTGACCATGTAACATAGTTAAGATTTGACAAAGTTAGGAGCCTTACAAGAGAAAGTCACAAAGTCAGAGGATATATGATATCTAGACCATTGTGACCAGGATTTTTCAACCGGTAGTTATGTGACCAGTTGCTTGTGGTAGCATAGCACTCAATCCGGTGATTCCACCGGTGGTCTGACCATGTAAAATGGTTAATATTTGACAATGTTATGAGCCTTACAACAAGAGAAAGTCACAAATTCAGAGCATATGTGATATCTAGACCATTGTGACCGGTATTTTTCGACCGGTAGTTATGTGACCGGTTGCTTGTGGTAACATAGCACTCAATCTGGCGATTCCACCGGTGGTCTGATCATGTAAAATGGTCAAGACTTGACAAAGTTATGAGTGCTACAAGAAAAAGTCACAAAGTCAGAGGATATATGATATCTAGACCATTGTGACCGGGATTTTTCAACCGGTAGTTATGTGACCGGTTGCTTGTGGTAGCATAGCACTCAATCTGGTGATTCCACCAGTGGTCTGACCATGTAAAATGGTTAATATTTGACAATGTTAGGAGCCTTACAAGAGAAAGTCACAAAGTCAGAGCATATGTGATATCTAGACCATTGTGACCGGTTGCTTGTAGTAACATAGCACTCAATCCGGCGATTTTACTGGTGGTCTGATCATGTAAAATGGTCAAGATTTGACAAAGTCATGAATTTAGAGGATATATGATATCTACACTATTGTGACCAGTATGTTTCAACTGGTATTTATTCAACTGGTTGCTTGTGGTAACACAGCACTCAATCCGGTGATTCCACTGGTGGTCTGACCATGTAAAATGGTTAAGATTTGACAAAGTTATGAGCCTTACAAGAGAAAGCCACACATTCAGAGGATATTATGATATATTGTATCTAGACCATTGTAACTGGTATTTTTTGACTGGTATTTATGTGACCGGTTGCTTGTGGTAACATAGCACTCAATCCGGTGATTCCACCGGTGGTCTGACCATGCAAAATCATTAAGATCTGACAAACTTATGAGCCTTACAAGATAAAGCCACAGATTTAGAGGATGTTATATCTAGACCATTGTGACCGGTATTTTTGTGAACAGTTGCTTGCAGTAATATAGTACTCAATCTGATGATTCCACCGGTAGTCTGATCATGTAAAATGGTTAAGATTTGACAAAGTTCTGAGCCTTATAAGACCAAGTCATAAATTCAAAGGATACAGTGTTGTATCAGCTTATATCTGGACCATTGTAATCAGTATTTTTGCAACCGGTTGCTTGTGGTAATGTAGCACTCAATCAGGGGATTCCATTTTGCCCCTTTGATAGGAGAGTGTTCTAGCACTGTCAAAGCATATTTAGGAGTATATATTAACATATTCCACCACTTAGTTGACCCCCTGAAGGGCTACATCAAACAATATAGCATATATACATGAAAACATAACTGATAAGAACCCTCCAACACTATCAAGGATGTTATTGGTAATCAGACACTTGGGATATGTCCCATGTATATCCCTAGTCATGGTCCTAAAATTCTGGAAAGATCCCTCAAGTATTGACTGTAAGATAAGTAAAACAACATAGGCTTGACATATGACAATTTACCCCTGTCACTGAAAGTCACTGACATATATCACACACACCAGAGATTTTATTAAAAATGCAGTAGTATGTATAGTAGACTACATAATGAACCTAAAATACACATTGCCTTGAAGGTAAAGTCTTTGTAGAAGAGTGTGGTGAGGAAATATTAGGATTGGTAAGTAAAAGTCCAACCACTACATATACACCAAACTGGTGAGTTTCGATGTTTTGGGCTTTTGGACTTTCCCACACTCTATTTCAGAGATATTTCACTGCCCTAGCTCTCAACTGTTAGTGGATCCTTTTATAAATCTGAGACCATGATATTGACCATGCTTAGAATATATTGCAAGCATCTGATTACTAGATTGTGTCCATTGGAGAATGTAGGCCCCTTATCAGTACACATACCCCCTTTCCCTTAGATAACAATATTATACCATATTTCTAACTGATCCTTGGGATGAGAAGTAGGTATATATGTAGTAAGAATAATATATGAGTAGTCTGGATCATTTATGCAATGGTAAAGTAGGGGAAAACACCAAAAATGCGACAACTGCAATCTTAGAAGTTTTAGCCTGTATAGAAGGATTCTGTAGGTATCCTGATGTACCAACCTGGTGTACATACTCTAAATATGTCTAGGAATGGTCCCCATATCTTTCTGCAGCTGTGTTCCTGTAGGAAAACCTTTCCCAGAGGATGGACCACCAGGAGAGGGTGAGTACACAGCATCACAAGGTTTTGTCTGTGGATGTTAAGGTCATGCTCAAAGGAAGGAGAACTCAAAGGGCTTGACTTCAGCTTGTGTGCTGCACCCCTTACCCAAGTATGTGCCCTTAATTTCTGAGAGGCAGGAGGGAAGTCCAACAAAGTCCAGAGGTTTCCGGAGGTCAGACACTAGGGGAGTTTGGCGGAACTCCAGAGGTTCAAGGAAACCCAGAGTAAGACTGCTGTGGACAAGTCTGGAGTAGAAATGGAACAGAGGTAAACTACCCTAAGGTAGAGCTGGAGACACACTGGTCTAGATATAACATATCCTCTGAATTTATGACTTTCTCTTGTAGGGCTCATGACTTTGTCAGATCTTAACCATTTTACATGATCAGACCACCAGTGGAATTGCCGGATTTATTACTACGTTACCGCAAGCAACTGGTCACATCAATACTGGTTGAAAAATACCAGTCACAATGGTCTAGATATCACATATACTCTGAATTTGCGACTTTCTCTTGTTGTAAGGCTCATAAAATTGTAAAATCTTAACCATTTTACATGGTCAGACCACCGGTGGAATCACCAGATTGAGTACTACATTACCACAAGCAAGCGGTCACATAAATCCCGGTTACCATGGTCTAGACATGATTTATCCTCTGAATCTGTGACTTTCTTTTGTAATGCCCATAACTTTGTCAGATCTAAACCATTTTACATGGTCAGACCACCGGTGGAATCGCCAGATTGAGTGCTATGTTACCACAAGCAACCGGTCACATAACGACCGGTCGAAAAATACCGGTCACAATGGTCTAGATATCACATATGCTCTGAATTTGTGACTTTCTCTTGTTGTAAGGCTCATAACATTGTCAAATATTAACCATTTTACATGGTCAGACCACCGGTGGAATCACCGGATTGAGTGCTATGCTACCACAAGCAACTGGTCACATAACTACCGGTTGAAAAATCCTGGTCACAATGGTCTAGATATCATATATCCTCTGACTTTGTGACTTTTTCTTGTAGCACTCATAACTTTGTCAAATCTTGACCATTTTACATGATCAGACCACCAGTGGAATCACCGGATTGAGTGCTATGTTACCACAAGCAACAGGTCATGTAAATACCGGTCAAAAAATACCAGTTGCAATGGTCTAGATACAATATATCATAATATCCTCTAAATTTATGGCTTTCCCTTGTAGGGCTCATAACTTTGTCAAATCTTAACCATTTTACATGATCAGACCACCAGTGGAATCGCCGGATTGAGTGCTATGTTACCACAAGCAACCGGTTACATAAATACCGGTTGTTGTTGCACCCCATATCACCGGCCCACTCGTCTTAATTGCACCCCATATCACCGGCCGACTCGTCTTCATTGCACCTCATATCACTGGCCAGCTCGTCTTCATTGGACCCCATATCACCAGCCAACTCGTCTTCATTGGACCTCATATCACCGGCCAGCTCGTCTTCATTGGACCCCATATCACCGGCCGACTCATCTTCATTGCACCCAATAACGCCAGCCGACTCGTCCTCACTGCACCTCCTTTACCAGCCCACCCATCTCCATTGCACCTGCTATACCAGCCCACTTGTCTTAATTGCACCTTATTTACCAGCCCACCCATCTCCATTGCACCTGCTATACCAGCCCACTTGTCTTAATTGCACCTTATTTACCGGCCCACCCATCTCCATTGCACCTGCTATACCGGCCCACTCGTCTCAATTGCACCCTATTCTCCGGCCCCCTCATCTTCATTGCACCTGATGTACCGGCCCACTCGTCTCCATTGCACCTCATTTACCGGCCCACTCGTCTCCATCACACCCCAGTTCCCCGGCCCACTCATCTATATTGCACTCCATTCCTCCGGCCCACTCATCTATCACACACTGGATTCACTACTACTATTCATAATTTCCTATATAGTACATTGCTATACTACCATCTATACTATATACACCTGGCCCATCTGTTTGCCTTGGACACTCCACCCCCTTGGCCCACTCATCTAACATGGTACAATTATTGCCATGGGCTGGCACCGGGTGGCCCGTCTCTATCGGCACATTGTCATGCCTGGCTGCCCATCTGAGATGGGTATATGTTACTGCATTATGTGGCAACAAGCAGATGTTGCATTTCTTGCGAGGTTCTCTCTGCGTCCAACATCAATTGGCATCGTTCTTGATTGTGGACGCTGCGGCATTGCCATTCCTCTTTTGATCTGTCGCAGCGACCTAAACAGAAACTCGGGCAAGCCGATGGCAAAGGTACATCCTCGCTGTGTGGTTGATTGATGTTAGATTAACACTCCTTACCCCTTACCAGCATCTATCCTGCTCCTTCTACCGGTGGTTCCCCCAACTCCTTGCGTTTCTGAGTATTATCAATCTCATCCGCTCATCGAGTCCATCGTTGAGTTATTCACCAACTTTCACAAGTTCACAGCCAGCCGCCTCCACCCCATCCAGCAGTGAAGCTACTATGTTCCCTTTCCCTTCAACCCAGCCTCATACCAAACCTAATGGCAAGAAGCCACGAAAGCGGGGAGAGAAGTGTGTCGGTTCCTTCTTTCAGCATCTGCGAGCTTTACGGTGCACGCACACCATGTGCTTGACTCACTGCACCAATGCTGGTGGCTACGCCATCCATCCTGTGGATACAGAGATTGTGTATGACTATGAGGGCATGGGTGCGGAAGAGGAGTTTGAGCTCCTGGCTGATGAACAGGCAGATATGGCTCCACTTGAGCCTGGGGTCGACAGTGGTGATACTGGTCATGAGGCGCTTCGCCAGGCCTTGGCGATGTCCCTTGCAATGTGTGGTCTTGAGTTCCCTGCGGTACCCCCTCCCCATATTCCTTCTTTTTGTGACCTTTTGACGGCTCCTGTGATTAATACACCATCCTTGACCATACCACCTACACCGTCCTTGACCACACCATGTCCAGCAGCACTCATTACCACACCAGCACCAGTTAAGAAGCCACCTCGCATCACCCAACAGCTTGACCCCTTGTGGGTATCAGACCTCAATGCTCGTGCGCAGCGTGAAGCTGAAGAACAGAGGATTGCAGAGCGCTGGAAGGAGATGGAGAAGGCAGCGAAGCAACGCTTTGTCCTCCACTGGTATGATGCTGTACATATCAATGTCTTTATGTTGGCATATGTACTGACTACTATCTTCAGAACAATGCCCCAGTCGTAGAAGAATGGGTGACCGACTGCCCTTTCTTCCCTCAGTTCCAGCTTTCGGACGATCCTGCTCTCATTGACTCACTTGGTGAGGGGATCGACAAGATTGAGGTATTTGAGGAGCGCCTCCAATGATGGATCCCTGCGGGTCTTACATACACATTTTCTCTTCAATCTGGCTGTCATGTCTTCATTCATCGTCGAGGTGTCACTGTCTGTGAAGGCTTCAATGACCTCTATAAGGCCTCCAGACATGGTATTCGCCCTCCCCATCTTCACTCCAACATGAAAGGAGAGTGAGATGGTGTGCGCACCAAACTGAAGAAAAAACGTGATGTTCCAGTTCCCTCAGATGCTGAATCCGACGTCGAGATTGTTGAGATGCCTATCACACCCATGACAGTTGGTAAGGGTAAGCGCTGATGTGAAGGTAGCCCTTGGGACATCAATATTAATGCACCCATACCTGTTCACCGTCGGCTTGATCTTAATGACTTTGATGCCTGTCGCGCAAGCTCGATGTCGCCCACTCCTCCTCCATCAGCACCACAGACCACACTATCATCCCGTGTTCGCCATCAGCCTGATCTTGATGACTTTGATGCTTGTCGTGCAAGCTCAATGTCACCTACTCCTCCGTTAGCACCACAAACTACACTATCATCTCGTTTAGCCTCCATCAAAGCATCCCATACCACTGAGCCATCGAAAGTATTCATTCCAGCATACAATTCTACAAAGCGGGTCTGGCCTCAAGGCATGTATACCACTGACATGGTCACAGGCTTTCAGCAAATGGACGACAAGAACTTGCAGGCGAGATTTCAACAAGATGATCTCTTTCGTCGTATATTCAGTGTACCATTTGTCAAGGCAACCTATCACGACAATTGCCGCGCATGGCAGAAAACAGATTCCTCTATCCTTGCAAGCTATGAGGCTGCGGGCCAAACTGCCAATGGTCTTTGGTCACACTATTTGGCGGCACGTAGAGAAGCGCTTGGGGAGAAGACTAAGAAGCCAACAAGGCGGGCCAAGTAAAAACCACTAGCCATTCCTTATCGTCATCCATTCACTTGATTTGTAGTTTGTTACTCGCCGTGTTGAATATTACTCGCTGTGTCATTACTCGCCATGTATTGCGTACAGCATTGTCGAAAGTGAGAATGCAAAGAGACACTGTCTATTTGCAGAGACAATGCTAATATAGTATTTCCTGAGTTGCTATTGTAAACACAGTAGAGCTGACCGAAGGGGAGTCCTTGTATCAATTATACATGCTGGGGTACTTAAGACATTAAGTGTGGGTGATGGGGATGCTTGCCTTGTGCACGTAAGGTAGGTACAGTGACGTGATTCCGCCGCTTGATCATCTCATCCAGGAAAAAGTCATACCTCACCGGTGTCATCTCCCGGCAGATGTTGTGGAAGGCACCGAACCACACATTGGTTTGCTTGGCGATAGACGAGTTGAAGTAATATTTGCCATTGTCATCTAGTAATTCTGGATAGGCCTTCATGTCGCAACGGTCACGGCAGAAGGTGTCACTAGCCTTGTGCTTGTTCTTGTGATGAAATGCATCAATGCACATCCCCATGCCATCAAAGAATTTGATGCATTGGTTCAAAACCTCCCGCAGCGCGTTGCAATTCGAATCATAAATCAAATGTTGTGGCTTGCGTGCACGAGGGAGTGAATACAGCTGTTCAATCATAATCTTGATGATGTCAGTGAAAACATATGCTATCGAGCACTACAGACTTACAAGAACATTGGATACAGTTTCATGATGATACATTGTGCCATGCCCATTAATAACTCCACATGGACGAACAACAAGCTGCTCATTATTGGTACGCTGGCGTCGGAATATTGCTTTGAGCTTAGGGGGTGTGTCCTTGCTTTCACAATCAACAGCAGGGTGGGACATCTCTGGCTGTGTGTCAAGAACACCAGTCGAAGTCATTACAGCAGGCCGCACTAAGCATACAGCTCCGGTCTGAGCATCGTGTTTGTACCATTCGTCTCCATCTTGGATGGGAAGAGCCACGGTCAAGTCGGCAGGAAGCTGTGGTGGGTCGAGGGAGGACATGGCATTGTCGAGCTTAGCGACCTTCTGACATTGTGTCTTGCTCTTCCCACTGCATAAAGACTCGACATTGGCGCCCTCCATCTTAACATGGACCGGATCATCACATGCTTTTCGGTACTTGCCTGACTTGCTGTCACGGGTGACAGGGCAATTACAGCCCTCTATGGCACAAGTTGTCTCAAGCTTTTTGTGGTCAGGGTCTACTGAACAGAAGCGGTGATGATTGTTTTCAAGAGGATTTTTGCACTGAGGAACACCGCAGCATGGACGGCCAATGGTAACTCCATCAGTCACAACAACTTCCGTGCGTGCGAGTGTACCATCTGGCATGTTGAATATGCACAAGCACCCATCACAAGCATGGGGCAACTCTTCATGGCCGTGAATGATGATACGCTCAGTACATTCCCACATCACAGTGGTGTAACGGTCTTTCTGTTCACCTCCGTGAGGCACCTGTAGTTGGACATGTCACTGGTCATGGTCGTCAAGCAGTGCCAGAAGGGTAAATGAATCCCACACCTCGGCAGTAGTGAGTGGACTGTTGAACTGCCAAGGAATGTCATCATCATTGTCATAAACATCACAGCGAGGTCAGGCAATATTATACAAATGGGCACAATTTGTCACAGAGACACTGCAACAAAGGAATATCAGATACTAACAGCAGGAAGGACTGTAACAGTTCACACTCACGTGATCTGCATCAAATCCATCCAATGCATTACGAGTTCACGTTGAACAAATTGATGTTCAGCGACTTGGATGTAGGCCGGCATTCTGCCATAGTATGTCCTGATACCATCCTGGACACTATAGTTGTTATGATAATTGGTATGACATTCTACAACAATGAGTTTACTACTATAAGCGTGGAACAAAGATAACAAGAGCATAACCTATGTCGACACTTCAAGTGCACTGACCATGCAGGATGAGCACCATTCGCATGGGTAAATATGACTGCCTGACGTTGCTCTTCTTTCTTGAGCACTGTACCAAGTTGCCATGCACTGCACTCTGGGTTAGTACACTGTTTGGTGGGCGGGTAAAGAGTATGAGAAGCTGATTGTTAGGTGAGCGAGTTAGAATAAGCATACTGATTTGATTTACTCACTAATTCCTCGCTGGTGTCCATAGAGTCTGAACGCATTCTCTTCATCAGCTCTGGCCTCGTTCACAGTGGGTAGAACCCATGCAAGGTCTTTCATAATGTCCCACAATGCATCAACAGATTCAGGTGATATAGCGACCACATCAGAGAGAAAGTTGGTTATTGAAGGGGGCAGTATATTGGGGGCAGCCATGATGCTGACAGTGTGCGGCTGAGGCTGGATGATATCATCCTTGAGGAGGCTGGTGTATCACAAGAACCAGCTGAGATCAATATACGACATAGCAGCAAGCTCATGGTGTTGCCACATGGCAGAAAAAAGGCTCCCAACATCCATGGAAGTAAGTCAAAGTAGGTCCTTGGCACTGTTGCAGACAATGAGCAAGCGTGAGAAACAGTGACAGATACAGAAACCTTTACACTCCGCTTGGAGGTGCCAATGGGCCTGCCGTGTCCCAGACTTTGTCCCAAACTTTGGCCCGTACTTTGGCCCGTACTTCATCCCAAACCGGCCATTTCAGAGATGTCCTCACACTGCTAAGCCACGGCTTAGGCTTCGCAAAATTGAAGCCTAGGCCAAAGTAGGTTATAGCATGGGTATGGGCCACACCGCAGGTATGGGGGTCACGGGTATGGCGGGTACGGGTACAGTGTTGATTTTCCGACCCGCGGGTATACCCGTGCTATATCCTAGGCCAAAGCCTTGGTCAGGCCCAGGCCTGGGCTGGGCCTGGCTCAATCAGGCCCGGCTTGGGCTGGCCCAGGGCTTGAAGCCGGGCTGGAACATCACTATACGTATGCAAGGGCGATAATTCACGGGTGTAAGTGAAGATGATCGCGGTTGCTGTGGTGATCACAGGCGAGCAGGAACAGAGTAAGAGCTGATAGAGAATGTATTATCTCAGTATCTGTTAGAAACTCGTAGCACAGCTATAGTACCTGATAGAGAATGTATTCTATGTCTCGTTAGCGCTTTGTATAGTAAGGGAAAATATAAGGGCTTACATCTCAGTATCTGTTAGAAACTGAGATGCCCGAATGCCAGACTCGTAGCTTTATACGTAGTTAGTATGGATACGCTAAATAACGGATGTCATAGAAATATCATAGAAATAAAGTAGTCCAATAATGACGAGCCTCGGTCGACGTCATTGTGTCGCCTCGTCGTTCAGCTTAGTTGCACTCGTTATGTCTCAGTCTGACATCGCTAACTTCCTCTTCGGTTCGTCTTCCGTTCCTCCCGATTTGTCAGAGCTCAACAGTTGCGTCAGTAGGAGGAGAAGCATGACGCGTCTGTCACGCGTTTAATGACACGTGATGTGCATGTCGCGGTTTCTTGTTACTGTACTTCCATGCTGGGTCTGAATAGAACCTATTCTTTCGCAGGCTGAAGGGACTTACTGCCACAGCGCCACTCATAACTCCCTAGATGCTAGCAATTGTCGAGACTCAATGACAACGATCGACCAGGAGCTGAAGAGATAGTACCGTACCAATCGAGCTTCTCACTGCATCAGGCTGCAGAATACCCAACCTGTGGGTTTTTGGCCAATCTCTCACTTTATGACTCAGGAAACAAGATCCTTCTTAGACTCAACTATGTCATCAACGGCATCAATTGGTTACCGCTTGGGTCGGCTCCAACTCAAAGTCATAGTAGATACCATCTGATCGGCGTCCCTGCACAACAACCAGCCCTAGTCACTGCTATCGAGCCCTTCTATCAACGGTTTTATTCAATGCGTCTCAAGAATTACTCACATTACACCCTAGCCAAACCTTACAAGACCCACCGATAGTGAACGCTCAGTCGCTACATGCTCGACCTCGTGCGAGAAATCCCTGTCCGAGGTCCGAGATGAATCAACAGAGTGTAAGAAAAGCAGTACGCAGGCATTCAGAACTCCTCAGATCAAGTGTAATGGCACTCAGACCGATAGTCGCTTTGTTTGTCTGCCGCAAAGGGCGAGGCATCGGAGGCAGAGTCCAGGGGCCCTAGCTACCCTGTTTTACGATCAGTGCGTGAACAGCATATAAGGGTGGGTTTTCCTCTTCTTCGCGCTGATTTGGACTAGATTGTTCCTCCTATCTCACTCTGATGACGCCTCGTATTCCAAAGCGCTGTAGCCTGTCAAGCCATATCGCAGCCCTCAACTTCCTTGATCTCAGTCTATATGTGTGTTATTCTCTGAGTCGTGACTTTGATTCCAACATAGATGGTCCATCCCGCCTTCAAATAAAAACACAACAACTGCAATGAACAATCCGAGCAACCTGAACCACCACATCGAAAAGCAACTCCACCGCTAGGACCGATCGACGCAGTCAACGTCCCTCTCATGGCTTCTCTCGATGTGCTATCCTCATCTTGCCTGTGCCCATACCGATGGTCCCCGATCCATAATCCGATAGGCAGGCCACTCACTATTTACCTGGGCAGTTGCCTACCTTCCCCGTCCCTCCCACCGGGACCATCTTCAAGCACCACTACCTCCCACATCATGTGTACGAGGGATTTGTCGCGGTACATTGAGATCGTACTAAAATCCTTTTCATTCTCAACTGCGTGTTATTGACGACTCTTCGGCTGGGACCTCAAGTCGTTGCGGCAAACCACGAACCAGAAGTAGTGCCATGCGCTCTTCCGGGCAGGTAGAATTGTAGCAGCTGTCGAAATGTACCAATGCATCATGGAAAAGAACTACGAATGCTAAGTTACGTGCTTATTTCGCGGGCACCTCCACTCAGCTCTCACGTAAGAACGACGCACACTCAATGTTTCCAATGGAGATGTTGTGCTCGCGGCGAGCGGTTTAACACGGACGATTGAAGAGATTTCATTCGTACCTCGACGGTATCTGTCTTACATACACAACCCTTTGTACTTGTATTATATGCCGGCTCACTTGAACAGGACAAATACTGTCTTTCGGCGGAAGTATATAAATGAATAAAGCTGTCGTGCAAACGTTGAGCAATATCTGTAAAGCGTTTGACAGGAGCGACACCCTTTGAACAAACTTCATAGATTTCAGCGGAAAATGCTGCGGTATCTATCCCAAATGTCTATCAATGGCATGTCGAGATGCCCGCGAACCTTGACATAGTGGGCGACCCAAGTAACAGGGAAGAAAATAAAAAACAAATGATCGAAGAACAGACATAGATTCGATGGATCTGGGCTGATTTGAAATCCATTCAGTGATCGATAATCCGATGATCAGTGTTTGAAATGACTGATCATCTTCAATCAATCCGAATTGCAAATACACCAGGCTGTACATGCCTAAAGCACTTTGCCAAGTTCTGAGGAGATAAAATGAAGCCCCGCAACTGTCGGATTTCCGTCAAGAACATAACCGAGGCTTAATATGTCGCTGGGTGGAATACCATGTCTTTGGGTGTTGACTTGATTGAAATGCAAGGGGGCAGAGCATGCTTGTCTCCGTGCGGACCCCCGCAATTGACAATGTCAGTCAGAATAACTTCACTTGGCTTCCTGTAATACGTTCAAGAGTTTTTGGTGTCATAATGTGGAAGTGTCCTCCCTTGATGCGTGGTCGGAATCCGCCGGCGGATTTGAATGGGCATGAACGGCCGTCGGGGAGCTCCGCGCCTACACTTGACATTGAGTTAGGGTTAGGTTCATTCATCCCATATTCGATAGTGTTTTTCAACACCTGCAGTGATAGTGGGTCATGCGATCAGGCTCGTTGTTTGCATCTGGAAAGCTGCGGCGACACTCGAAGGCATGGGGTCAGTCGACTCGCTCAGATCGTCAACCAAGGCGATTATGATAACGGCCTCATATCTTGGGCGTCTAGTAAGAAGTTAATGTTATGAAGCAGCATAAAAATACCGCAGTACAAGCACCTCTGCAACTTCGAGCTAGACACCTACCATCCTCACCAAGTCCACCTCGACCGTGCTCACTACCGTCAACGTTCAGAAAATGGCGCAGCTCATTCCAAGCACCATACCCATTCGAGTGTTTGAAGATCATGAAGCCCGTGTATCCGCAGTCGCAGTTTTCCCCGACAAGCAACGTATGGTCACATGCTCGTACGACGCGATGCTCCGTCTGTGGGACTTGATGACAGGTGTGGTGGTAAAGAAGATGGAGGGGCATGGCAGTCCGGTGCAGGCATTGGCGGTATCACGGGATGGGCTGTTGATAGCAAGCGGTGGTGCCAATGGGGAGCTCATTGCGTGGGATGGAAAAACCGGCGAACGTTACAACCGATACGGTCAAACTTGCCAACCTTCCAGTGCCCACACCGGTTGGATATTATCGTTGGACTTTTCTTCTGATGGCAAAGCGCTGGCCTGTGGATCATCGGACTCAACGACAAGTCTGTGGAATACAGACACGTGGAAGCTGGAAGGAAATGCAATTAGCTGTGGTACAAACGTCCACTGTGTTCGCTATTCACCATCATCGTCCCCACCAATTCTTGCAATTGCAACAGAGCACAATATCCAAATTTACCACGCTGGCTACTACACTTGGAACAGCAATTCATACCGTTACACCTATTCATACAACAGCTATTCCTACAATTCATACAACAGCTATTCCTACAATTCATACAACAACTATTCCGACAATTCATACTACGAGAACTACTATTCCTTCCAGGCTCAGCACAAGGCAACGATTAGTGAAGGACACAACTACTCACTCGCGTGGACGCCAGATGGACGTCTACTCACAGGGGGAGATCATCAAGATCCCACCATACGAGAGTTGGTCCAGGTTCAGGATTCATCCTGCAATTGGACCTGGAAGCAGGTCAGTGATCCTTGGAAGGGCCATTTCAAGATTATCCGCGCCATTTCTGTGAACTCCAACGGCACTCTCCTTGCCTCCGCATCTCATGACAACCGTGTCCTCCTCGGGAGCCTCTCAGATCGACGAACCATCGCCGCATTCAAGCACTCTGGCCATGTCAAATGTGTCACGTTCTCCGCAGATGGCAAGCACATCCTCAGCGGAGGTGTGGATAAGAAGATCTCAGAGTGGTCAATATCCGAGGACGCTTTGCTATTGGATGGCTCAAAGGATGGTCTCATGAAGGAGCGAGTAACACACCAGGTAAGTTCATTTCCATGTTCCCGCTCCTTCGTCATCTAAGCGTCTGTTTCATGCCAAGCCTCAGGCGTCTTCTGATTTCAAGGCATGTTCCCTCCTTTGACTCTGATAACGCAATGCAAACATGTTTCATGCAGGTCCTCGTTATTGACACGACAGTTCGCAATGCGTGCATAGCTGGTGACTGGGCTACCGCTGAAAGGGTACTAAATCTAGAGATCGACGCTGGTACCTGCGATCAAACCTCCTATGCCAATCGCGCATTTGTTATGGCGCGAAAATGCGACTGGAATTCCTCGCTTCATGATTCAATTGAGGTGAGATGATAGATCGACAAATCATGGCCCCCTTGGATAAGCTAACTCCGATGATGATTTAGTCACTGAGCATTCAACCCTCGTTTTCAGGATATATTTCCAAAGGCATTGCACTCTGCGGGAAAAAGCAGGTCCGGGTCGCGAGGACGTCATTTGACCTGGCGTCCGTGTTCACAAACGGCGATTTAAAGACCGATCATTTTCTTTTTTTCATCAAGGTACGTATTATTTATCTTACATCCTCCATACTTCATGGCAATTTTCAGACTATCGCGCTGTTCAATGCAAATGAACATGAAGAGGCAATGCAGCGCGTCGAAGAGCTGGCTATATGTCCCGATGCAGATCCACTTGCTTGCCGTATCGTGGAAGTGAGTACCACGCACTCGATCACGCCCAGGTCCGTGGGCTGGAACTGATTCTACCCTTCGCACATCAGGCATATCTACGTGTCCAACTCGGAAACATTGCCATGGATGACACGCGCTACAACGAAGCCATTGATCACTTCACTGCCGCCGTCAACGCTAGCGCTTACTTCCATAAAATGGAAATTCATTCGATGTACGAGGAATTTACCGTGGTACGTTCATATACTGGATATCCTTTTGATACTCAACCGAGTATTCTTTGCAGCTCTTTGGCTGGGACCTAAAGTCCTTGTGGCAAACCGCAAACCAGCAACACTGTCATACACTCTTTCGCGCAGGTAGAATAGGAGCAACTATCGAATCGTACCAATCCATAATAGAGACGAGTGATGACGCTACGAAGACCAGCATGTGTGCCTGGTTCGCTGGTAAGCAGTCAGCAATGACATCCCGTCTACAATTCTCAACCATACTTCCCCCAGCTCTTCAGTAAAAACGAAGCGTGCTAGACATTGCACCCGCGGCGAGTGCTTACTCATGCAGTGTCGATCACAGACATCCTCCCGCCGTTTTCATTTGTACCTTGGCAGTATCTGTATAATACAAATAACCTTTTGTACTTTTAGAGTCGTATCCGAGTCATATGTCATACGTCAGCTCACTGGAACTGGTCATCTACAATGTTTCCACCCACCGTTCGGCGCGTGCCCTTCACTTTTGGTTCGTTGATTTGCCTTCGGTCGAGTTACTGCTTCCCTCGCAGACTTTACTTGAGTAGTTGACTAATACGCCACATTGTTCTTGGTCCCTGTCTGATCAAACACAAAGCTGTCACACCAGCATTGCAAATGCATACGTGATCAATCAATTTAACGCGGCACAAATATTACACGAGAGACGAGCGATGTTGTACAAGACAAGAAACTGAGTTGGGCTGTGACTCCGAATGAGGGGGCGACACAAACAGGGGGAATATTAAGATAATCCCTTCCTTAAGCCTAAGTAATCTTATAATACCCAGTAAACGAATCACGTTAAGAGGTTCCAGGTCGTGATCTCAGCGAGCGCTCCGAGATTATACTCCCAAATCATGGGGGTCTCGATGGCACTTTGCAAGACAGCGGTTTCTTGATAGTCCGAAGTGATGTAGACGCGCGGGATCGGAGTGAACTCTGCTGTGGCGTTGCTGCCGTCTCTGCGTTGTATACTGTGAATGTCTCGCAGGAGAAATGAAGGGAAGAGGACACCGTTGAAGTACAGCGCCAGAACAGGCATCAACTCTCCACGGTTCGCAAAGCCCGGTAGTTGGGCCATACACTGAAGTGGGGACAAAAACAGAAGAAAGTCGTGGACGGCCACAAACCGAATGCGATGTCTTGAGTGAGCCCAGTCTTGTTCCAGGCCTGTAGGAAACCATCGACTCCTTTCTGAGGGTTCTACACAACTTGTTTGTGAGTTGTCAAGATGAAAATAAACGGAGGCGGGACTTACGGAGAACTAGAAGACATTGTTGTCCTCGGTCAGGGCGGTTTTTCGATGAGCTCCAGCATGATGGTTTGTGTTCGTGCTAGGAATCGCGCAATACATGATGGACTTACTGGTTCGTGTAAATCGCCTGCATCCTGTATGGGCCTGGGATGAAGTCATGCTTATTTTGGCAATCGGACAGGAAAGATGTAGAAAAACCCATTCGTCTTTCCGAAAGTGCTGATTCTGAAATTTTTCAAAGTTGGAATTCGTCGCGGGCAAAAGCGAGAGTACTTACATCCGAACAACGGGGTGGAATGTCTCGTAGAGGCCCTCCATGTTGCCATCAAAAGTGAGCAGAAGCGTCTCCTTACCGAGATCTTTGCTGCAAGACGGTCGGGTAAAAATGCGACGACAGCGCAACAGTGCAAGGACACTCACTTCTGAAGTTCTACGGAATAAGAATCCGGAAGTCTATCTAGGCATCAACCCCGATAACGATAGCCAGTCCATGAAAGGAGTTAAGTTAGTGCGCTGGATTGTTTCGTCTCTGTCTGCGAGGAAATCCCAGAGGGGTATTGAAGATGAATTGGTGTTAGTATTGGTGCAAAGGTGATGAAAACAAAAATTAGGAAGGAGGACAGCACTTACGTTTGACGTCATTTCCTGCACCATTGACTCGTCAATCCCCGCTTCGGACCTTGGAATTCCTCCATACTGACTCTCGTTTCGCGGTGGCAGTGAAGAGGGATGTGAGCGAGAGAAGTACGAGTGGGTGGGCTGTGTGGACTGCTAGGGGATGGTGCGGTGGGAGAGGGATCTGCACGAGTAGGATTATTAGCATGGGGTTAATTAGGACCAAAGACGAGGGGAAAGGTACCTGAACGATGCCATCCTTGAACCCCTCGAGTGCTCCGCTATCGACAATTACATGGAACGTGCGCAACGAGCTTGTCGAACGTTAAGTTCTGCGGTATCAAGAATAGCCCTAACTTGTGTCCATGCACCTGCATGAGGGAGGACGCGTAAATACGTATGCGAGGGCGATGATTCGGGGGTGGTGGTTTTCGCGAGCGAATGATCATGAGGGTAGTGTAAGTGAAGATGATCGCGGTTGCGTCGGTAGGAGGAGAAGCCTGACGCGTCTGTCACGTGTTTAATGAAACGTGATATGTATGTCGCGGTTTCTTGTACTGACTTACTTTTTTTTCCCATGCTGCGTCTGAACGGAACCTATTCTTTCGCAGGCTGAAGGGCCTTACTACCACTCATAAATCTCCGGCAGTGGTGATGCTAGCAATTGTCGAGACTCAATGACAACGATCGACCGGGAGCTGAAGAAATAATACCGTACCAATCGAGCTTCTCACTGCATCAGGCTGCAGAATACCCAACTTGTGGGTTTTTGGCCAATTTCTCGCTTTATGACTCAGGAAACAAGATCCTTCGTAGACTCAACTATGTCATCGACGGCACCAATTGGCTCGGCTCCAACTCAAAGCCATAGTAGATAATGAACCCACCACCTGATCGGCGCCCCTGCATAACAACCAGCCCTAGTCACTGCTATCGAGCCCTTCTATCAATGCGCTGTAGCCTGTCAAGCCATATCGCACCCCTCAACTTCCTTGATCTCAGTCTATATGTGTGTTATTCTCCGAGTTGTGACTTTAATTCAAACATAGATGGTCCATCCTGCCTTCCAATAAAAACACAACTACAATGAACAACCCGAGCAACCTGAACCACCGCATCGAAAAGCGACTCCACCGCCAGGACCGATCGAAGGAGTTAACGTCCCTCTCATGGCTTCTCTCGGTGTGATATCCTCGCCTTGCCGTGCCCATACCGATGGTCCCCGATCCATAATCCGACGGTCAGGTCACTCACTATTTACCTGAGCAGTTGCCTACCTTCCCCGTCCCTCCCACCGGGACCATCTTCGAGCACCACTACCTCCCGCATCATGTGTACGAGGGATTTATCGCGGTACGTTGAGACCATACAACCTAAAATCCTTTTCATTCTCAACTGAGTTTGATTGACAGCTCTTCGGCTGGGACCTCAAGTCATTGCAGCAAACCACAAACCAGCGAAAGTGCCATGCGCTCTTCCGGGCAGGTAGAATTGGAGCAGCTGTCGAAACGTGCCAATGCATCATAGACAAGAACTACGAAGGCTAGGTTACGTGCTTGTTTCGCGGGCAAATTTCCTCAGCTCTCAAGTAAGAACGACGCGCACTCTATGCTTCCAATGGAGATGCTGTGCTCGCGGCGAGCGGTTGAAACGCGGACGTTTGAACAGATTTCATTCGTACCTCGACGGTATCTGTCTTACGTACATAACCCTTTGTACTTGTATTGTATATGCGGCTCACTTGAACAGGACAAATACTGTCTTTCGGCGGAAGGGCATAAATGAATAAAGCAACGCTGGGCCCTGCACCACTACAGAATAGATTAAACGTTGAGCGATATCTCTAAAGCGTTTGACAGGAGCGACACCCTTTGAACAAACTTCATAGAGTTCAGCGGAAAATGCTGCGGTGTATCTATCCCAAATATGTATCAATGGCATGTCGAGACGCCCGCGAACCCTGACATATTGGGTGACCCGAGTAACAGGCAAACAAAGAACAAATGATCGAAGGACAGACCTAGATGCAAGCGGGAGTCGCCCTCGATTCCATGGATCTGGGCTGATTTGAAATCCATTCAGTGATCGATAGTCCGATAATCAGTGTTTGGAATGACTGATTCAATGCAAATTGCAAATACACCAGGCTGTACATGCCTAAAGTGCCAAGTTCTGAGGAGATAAAATGAAGCCCCGCAACCGTCAGATCTCCGCTAAGAACATTCGATGGAACCGAGGCTCAATATGTCGCTGGGTGGAATACCACGTCTTTGGGTGTTGACTTGATTGGAATGCAAGGGAGCAGCGAATGCTTGTCTCCGTGCGGACCCCTGCGATTGACAATGTCAGTCGGAATAACTTCACTTGGCTTCCTGTAACACGCTCAAGAGTGATTGATGTCATAATGTGGAAATGTCCTACCTTGGTGCATGGTCTGGACGCGCTGGCGGATTTGAGTTGGCATGAACGGCCGTCGGGGAGCTCCGCGCCTACACTTGGCATTGAGTTAGGGTTGGGTTCATTCATCCCACATTCGATAGTGTTTTTCAACACCTGCAGTGATAGTGGGTCATGCGATCAGGCTCGTTGATTGCATCTGGAAAGTGGCGACACTCGGAGACATGAGGTCAGTCGCTCAGATCGTCAACCAATGCGATTATGATAACGGCCTCGTATCTTGGGCGTCTAGTAAGAAGTTAATGTTATGAAGCAGCATAAAAACGCCACAGTGCAAGCGCCTCTGCAAATTCGAGCTAGACACTTATCATCCCCACCAAGTCCACCTCGACCGTGCTCACTACAGTCAACCTTCAGAAAATGGCGCAGCCCATTCCAAGCACCATACCCATTCGAGTGTTTGAAGATCATGAAGCCCGTGTATCCGCAGTCGCAGTTTTCCCCGACAAGCAACGTATGATCACATGCTCGTACGACGCGATGCTTCGCCTGTGGGACTTGACGACAGGTGTGGTGGTGAAGAAGATGAAGGGGCATGGCAGTCCGGTGCAGGCATTGGCGGTATCACGGAATGGGCTGTTGATAGCAAGCGGTGATACGAAAGGAGAGCTCATTGCATGGGATGGAAAAACTGGCGAACGTTACCTCAACCGAGATGGTGAAACTTGCCAACTTTCCAGTGCCCACACCGGTTGGATATTATCGCTGGACTTTTCTTCTGATGGCGGAGTGCTGGCCTGTGGGTCATCAGACTCAACGACAAGTCTGTGGAACACAGACACGTGGAAGCTGGAAGGAAATGCAATTAGCTGTGGTACAAGCGTCCACTGTGTTCGCTATTCACCGTCATCGTCCCCACCAATTCTTGCAATTGCAACAGAGCACAATATCCAAATTTACCACGCTGGCTACTACACTTGGAACAGCGATTCATACCGTCACACCTATCCATACAACAATTATTCATACTACTCCGATAACAACTATTCCTTCCAGGCTCAGCACAAGACAACGATTAGTGAAGGACACAACTACTCACTCGCGTGGACGCCTGATGGACGCCTACTCACAGGGGGAGATCACCAAAATCCCACCATACGAGAGTTGGTCCAGGTTCAGGATTCATCCCGCAATTGGACCTGGAAGCAGGTCGGTGATCCTTGGAAGGGCCATTTCAAGATTATCCGCGCCATTTCTGTGAACTCCAACGGCACTCTCCTTGCCTCCGCATCTCATGACAACCGTGTCCGCCTCTGGAGCCTCTCAGATCGACGAACCATCGCCGTATTCAAGCACTCTAGCCATGTCAAATGTGTCACCTTCTCCGCAGATGGCAAGCACCTCCTCAGCGGAGGTGTGGATAAGAAGGTCTCAGAGTGGCCGACGTCCGAGGACGCTTTGCTATTGGATGGCCCAAAGGATGGTCTCATGAAGGAGGGAGTAACACATCAGGTAAGTTCATTTTCATGTTCCCGCTCCCTCGTCATCTAAGCATCTGTTTTATGCCAAGCCTCAAGCGTACTCTGATTTCAAGGCATGTTCCCTCCTTTGAATCTGATAACGCAATGCGAACATGCTTCATGCAGGCCCTCGTTATTGACACGACAGTCCGCAATGCGTGCATAGCTGGGGACTGGGCTACCGCTGAAAGGGTACTAAAGCTAGAGATCGACGCCGGTACCTGCGATCAAACCTCCTATGCCAATCGCGCATTTGTTATGGCGCGGAAATATGACTGGGACCACGCGCTTCATGATGCGATTCATGTGAGATAGACCGACCCATCATGCCCCCGTTACGAAACCTGACCTAAATTGTGACATAGTCCATCAGCATTCAGCCCTCATTTGCAGGCTTTGTTTCTGAGGGTATCGCCCTCTGCGGAAAAAAGCAGGTTCAGATCGCGAGGACATCATTTGACCTTGCGTCCATATTCACAAACGGAGATTCAAAGACTGAATCTTTGCTTTTCTTCGTCAAGGCAGGTAACACTTTCTCTCTCATCCTCCATACTTCATTGCGATTTTCAGACTATCGCGCTGTTCAATGCGAGTGAACATGAAGAGGCAATGCAACGTATCGAAGAGCTAGCTCTGCGTCCCAATGCTGATATTCTTGCTTGTCGTATCGTGGAAGTAAGCGTCGTGCAATCGATCATGTTCGTGTGGTGCACCGTGGAGCTGATGTTTGTTCGTACATCAGGCTTATCTACGCATCCAACTGGGAAACGTTGCCTTGGATAATGTGCGGTATAGCGAAGCTGTCGACCATTTCACTGCCGCCGTTAACGCTAGCACTTTCTTTTATAAATTGGAATCGGAAATTCATTCTATGTACGAGGAATTTGTCGTGGTATGTTGATACACTGAACATCCTTTTTATGCTCAACTGCGTATTCTTCGCAGCTATTCGGCTGGAACCTCAAGTCTTTGTGGCACGCTGCGAACCAGCAACACTGTCTGGCACTCTTTCGAGCAGGTAAAGTCGGAGCAGCGTTAGAAACGTACCAGTCAATCATAGACAAGAGTGATGATATTACGAAGACGAACTTGAGTATTTGGTTCACTGGTAAGTCACCAGTGATATTACCCTGTCTAGAATCCTCAAGCGCACTCCACTCAGCTCTCCAGTAAGAACGAAGCGCGCTAGACGCAGCACTCGCGGCGAGCGCTTACCCATGTATTTTGAAACACAGATTCTCCATCGTTTTCATTTGTACCTTGATACTATCGGTATCAGGTGTCAGAGATGACGTGAAAAAGCTATGAAAGGAAACGTTGGTTTGTTCAAAGTTCCCGACAGCGGATTCGAGCTGCTGGCATTGACCTTCCTTCGCAAGGTGAAAATTTGTTCCACGCAATAGATCTTGCTTCACAAGGTAACTATGAAATTATGGTCGGACCATCTGCATGAACCAAGTTCTCAAAATCTGAGGCAATCTGCTGGCATTGCAGATATCATCTGTTCGAAAGGGTGGATAGGTTCTTCCTACTGTCCCCTTCAGATTTATCATCCTCACAAACAATGCGTTTCTCCCGTGTCCTTGCTGTTGCTGCTACTCTGACAACATCAATATCTGCAGCATCAATACCTGCCAGTGACCCTGGCAGTGAAGCATGTCCTTGGACTTGCGAAATATTACCCTGCTGCCCTGGATCTATATGCTTGCCGTTTGGCATATTTGTGGTGAGTACGAGTAGTCCGTATCCCAGATTTAACCACATGACTCACCGGTGTGGTAGATCTTCTCGGTATGTTACTAAACAAGTTGAGGTCCAGGTTTAGGACAGACGAGGTTTAGAAATGTTGAGGTTTAAAGAGGACGAGGTTTAAGAGTCTTCACAAAGGTTATATTTATTTTACATCCATCCCGGCTGAGTCGTCACCCCCACAAGCTTGTCGTCACCACCTGGATGTCTCGCTCAATTCTTACTTCTTCACACAATTTACGATTGGAATCAGTGTCTCTACATATGCTTTTGATTACGAGGTTGAATGAAAGAATTTCGTCAAGGAATGATGGAGTTACAGTGTGTTGCAAATGACTTTAGACTCTAGAGTCTCGTTTTCAAAAATTTGCCAATCTTTATTTGTTCCTTTGTTTTGACGTGTGACTTCCTTCTGTCACACGTCGTCTCAAGCATTCCAGTTTTCACGCCGCTGGAAGCTGGCAATGAGTACTGAGTCGGAATGGCACCTCTGATCACTCCTGAAATGCACCAGATTATGGCTATCTGGCGCTGCAAATAATGGAAGACTGTGTTGGAAATATCTAAACTAGCTCAATGTTGTGAAGCTACTGTCTACAATGTCTTGTGAAATCACCATGAGTATGGCCAACACACCAACTCATTTGCACAGGGGAGAGGCCATCCATGCACTCTGAGTACTGCTGATCTTGACTACTTGCACTCAATTCTTCAGGCCAACCCAGCTCTATACCTTGATGAGCTGCAGGAGAAGCTGCAGTCCACCAAAGCAAATCTTCACTTTTTGTAGGCTTTGACAGCAGCCAAGAATACACACAGACCAGCCCATGCCCTACACTTACCCAAGTGCTGAGTTACAAAATATTGACATCTAAGGGTTG